TAGCAGAAGTTCCGATGCCTTGAATCTCTCTCCTCTCCCCCTCAATCAGGACGACTGCTTAACAGTAAACATTATATGTGACAAATAGCTATCAATATCAGGTTCAGTGCAAAGTAATATCAAATATGCACTAAAGACTACACTTTATGCCGAGATCAGTTGATGCTTATACCATTTACCAGCTTCTGGAAAATATATGTATCTTAATCATAAAGCTCATAATCATGTCGTGGCTCACATTTCAAGATTAGGAAAAATAAGAGTCTTCGATCGTAAGGCCTTGATGATCTCTTACATACATATATATATGTATGATGGCGTGTATTTTTACAAGCATTGTGAGGTTTAAACCTAGCGACATTTTTTATATTTATTACTTACAGTGCTGTCAAGATTATACACTCTCATTCGTTTCGAGCACCAGGTATCTTCCTTCTAGCATTATCGTATAAATTGCATATCTTGTGCTATATGAAATTTTTATTGTAATGGATCCTTCCAATCAGTTTTCTTTACCAGGATTCAAGTCGTTGCTTTCATAGTTAAAAACTTTTGTTGCGTGATGCACACGGGCTCGCATCAAAATGACTCTCAATACACTTGATGAGTCTAATTTTGTCGGGCCATGTACGTGTACAGCGATAGTGAGGACTTGAGTTAGTCCATTTAAGTCTGGGGGATGAGAACCGTCAATCAGATTTTACTTTGCACCGTTAATCTTAGCCTTTTACGAACTTGATGAATGAAGTCTATAAACCAATTTTCTCGGGTTTTAGTATTCTAGAAGGGCCACAGGGGAACCCACGATAGACGTCTGCTTGTAAGCTATGTCTTATCCTCCTGGGCAGAGATACTCAAATAGTTCACCGTTTGGAATGATTCTTGCACGTTTAGGCCGTGAAATCGACAACAAGTTTAACTAATTGTACCGATTTTGCCACGCACTTTTCACAGAGAAAGTTTGACTTGGCCACGCTAGGGAAATGGGGATCCATGGCTGCCGAGTAGCAACGTGATACTATTTTATATTTGCGATAGTAACGTACACCTGTGTCTTGCGTAAAACTTGATCTTCATAATGCTTGGACTTTAACTTTTGTGGAAGCGCCTCCGCAGAGGGACTAGCTTCCGTCATCCACTTTAATAGACAGTAACACGTCGGTCTCGTCACCAGTTATGATCCCAAGTTAAAACTAGTATACAGAACGTTGTGACATATCACATACGCATGTGCGGTCACCATACTCTAGCACGTTTGTTATGAATTCTCATAGCGCAGTGGCCAAGCGTACTTAAGAAGTGCGGACTTAATTGGGATGCGGACTTATATGAACCCGGATTTAAGCAAGTACTTATTGTAACACTTTTTTTAAATTTAGCGTCTAACACATAAGTACCAAGTGTGTGGTACAACGTTGGCACGCGATTGGTCGAGTGTCTTTTCCAGACTCCCGACCTCCCATCATCACGACGATGAGCTTCGTAACGCGTACGTTCACCCCTTTCCGATTATACTCCCGTTTCGCTGTACGCGGCTTCGCCTCCACCGGTGGCATTCCTGATGACCTTGAGCATGCCGTGGGTCGAGAGCGTCAGGAACTTGAGGCTGCCAAGATTGGCGTAGTACAATTTAACCGCGACCCCCTCGAGTCGGACGAGTCACAGGGAAATTCAAAGGACGATCCGATCTTTGTACCATCTTTTAACAATATACGCACTGTAGGCGTCTCGCACAATGATGCATCGTACGTGTACTGGTTTAACATGGAGAAGGGAAAAGTGCACTATTTGCCGGAAATTGAAAAGTACTTTATGCTTTACAACCCAGAGGAGCTCGCGAAGCTTGTAAACGAAGTGGAAGCCAAGCAGCAGTAGTCAATGAGAACAATATGGGTTCTTGCATTCTCCTCTCTTACGTTTGCTTTAGTGTGGAAGTAGGTGAAAAGGCAAAAAGGGAAAAGGAGAGTAATAGAAAATTGATTACTATTTGTCTGATCGTTTATATTACTATAAACGTAGTCGAGTTGTATATCCGAAACCTGGTCCTATAGTGAATCAAAATTGGTCTTAAAGTGCCTCCACGTATCTATTTGAAACTCACCTGCTACTGTTGCTGTGGACCCTCCCGTTGGACAAAATATTAGAGAGATCCTTGCATCAAATACTGCTGTATGTGCTCATTCGCTGAAACGCTGAAAGTGGTGACAGAGCAGAAGCTTTAACGTTACTTTCATCAAATCTAGCGTTTGAAGACACGTGAGGACTTCCATTTAAAATTTTGGCCATGGCTTCCCCATGCTTTGCATTAGGTCGCATTTCCTCCGAATGCCACGATCCAGTGCTCGTGCTATCGTCACTCGTTTGTGCTATTGCAGTATCGCTTGACGACACACTCGTTGTTGGGCTCAGCAGGGATGCAAGAGGCTTCATCGAAGCACTTTCATTCTGGTTTGGCTCTAGTTGTGAGTGATAATCCTGAAGCATTCCATCAGGGTCAAATGGTAAGCGCCCAGCAAATTTTAATAAATACTTCTGAGCGTGAGTACGCGTTTGTACTGCGCTACGCGTCATAACGACTTGCGCCACACGACGCCAGTCTTTCCCATACAAGCGAATACCCTCAAGGAATGCGGTGTGTTCTTCGCTAGTCCAGCGCCCACCCTTTGAGAGGCCAGTGGTCAAAGACCTTGAACTCGTCACCATTACGGAATTATCTACTCTAGCAGAATGTCCTTGATTTACTTGCGGCAGAGGATACCCGCCGTGGCTGGTACGTGTTGACACTTTACGGGTCGAAGAATCACTGTCACTTTTTGAGTATTCAACGAGCAAAGAAGACGTAGGCAGCATTTTGGAGTGCACCGAGTTTTCCCTGTTGGGGTCCGCAATCACACACTCACGCTTCATTTTCAAATTAGTGATTTGATCTCGGTATCTTTCCCGTTCACTACCGTGAGCACTGAGCATGGCGGCCTCCATGGAAGCAATACTTTTGGAGAGCGACCGGATTTGGCGATGTGGCCACCTTTTGATACCGTTTCGGCGGCAAATTTTTTTCATTAAAGTGATGCATATACCAAAGTCTTTTGCTACGTCAATAATGGGTCGATCAAAGTGCGTACGTAGTTCCTCGATCGAGATATGCTTGGTGACCAGACTTTTTACCCGATTGCTCTCATTTCGAAAACGATGACTGCAACCTGCATCATCCGTGAAGTCGAGTTTACTGCCTTTCGGGCCATCAAAATTAATTTGCTGCACACGATGTACCTTGCCATTTCCACTTCTGAGAGAAAGTTGATGGTGATGGAAAGACATCTCGCCTGAGCCCATGTCACTCATGATATCCGTATCCAGGTCAGGCGATGACAACAAAGCAGCTCTGTCATTTCGATAGCCTTTGCTTAAGCTTGTGAGGATCATTGCCGTTTCTTCTGGGTTAAGCCCTGTGACATTGGACTTGGTAGTGTCGAATTGATCGCCCCAGGCACTATTGGTACTGGTCGTGTCTTTTTGATTTGTCATTGTTCGACCCTCAACTTCGCAGGCCATTCTTATGCTGTTTATTGTGTTCAATTGCCAACTTTAGCAATTGCAACTATGAAATACTCTCCGTCACAGTTCAGCAAAGTTCAAAATATTGCTGCGTGATAATCAGAATGCGCCGTCAGCATATATAAAAGTGTAGCCATATCTATGTGTCTATAAATAGCCAAGTGGTGGCTACTCAGACTCGTAGACTCCGCATAATCTACAGCTAAAATATATACGTACCTCAATCTGTCTTCAAAGCGTGAGTGTCTACTATAATGTAGACAGCGGTCTGTTTATTCGTCCACCACGATCTCAATTAACTCGCGACTCTGTGGCCTTTGGTGCACCCTCCAATGGATCAACAAGAGGTTCGAAATCGTCAATGCAAGGGGAATTAAGTAACGGCTAAGTAGCAATGAACTGTATCAGTGTAAGTAAATCACATAAAAGTGGTGAATTTGCCAACTCTCAAGTCGAAATATTCGATTTAATGTGAAGGTGTCCTACAACCAATCGATCTTGAAGGGACGTTGTACCACACCAGTGCAAAGTTTGTTGTGGCTTTGCCGAATACTCATATAATCATTCGTTCACATGTAGTGTTGGTGTCTACTTGCATCCAGACTGTCCACACCGAACCAGAAGGCGAAGTGACGAAGGCACCTGACATGCTCACTATATCTGCCGGTGAAGATGTTGACACTCCTGGTGCACTTGCTGTTGCTGTGTGCGTAACAGTTTGAATCACTAGTCTTCAGGTCATTTGCCACATAAACAGCTACCATTACTTTTGCACTGGTTATCGTGATAATGTAAAGACTACATAGTCTTAAGTATGTACTGTACCGCAGTTGTTAAACTAGCTTTATTTTTTTAAAATGCAAGAGTTTGCCAGGAATCAGTTGTAAAAAACAGAGTATTTTACAAGTTGGTCTTCTGACTTGTTCTAACCTTTCACACTCATTCTTGAAGATGCGATGGAATGCGAATCATCAACGCATCGCCACACTGACGCTTTTGGCACAGCGGAAACCTATCATGGGAGATCGGTCGTACCCTTCGCTTATCATGATGAAACGATTGTGGTGCTGGGAGTCCAGGGCTTGTGGGAAGTACCAGTTCGGGTCGGCGAGAGTAGACGGGATGGGAGAGTAACAGCTTCCTCCTCGAAGAAGAACTCCGCACGTGTGTGCGTCACAAAAATAATCAGTCATCTGCCAGATGTATCCTGTCAAGTCTTCGACGTCAAAACTCTTAGAGCGCGATATTTTGTTGGATCCCACGGGAGCTAGCTGGGGCAGCTCCTGGCCGTGGTATACCTTTGGCAGCTTGGCTGCATCGAATTCAGATCCCCATGGATAGGGATCGTTGAGGGCTCCATTGGAGGCGACATATTGCCATTCCTGATCTTTTGGGAGACGTTTGCCGTAATAATTGGCGTAAGCAGTGGCATCCTCCACTGCAACATTTACGACAGGAGTCTGTTCCAATCCAGCCGGAATGGTCCACAACGCTGGGTTTTCACCTTGTCGATTCTCCCAGTGATCCAGAAAGCGTTGTAGTGATTTTGGCACATACCCACTGGCCTTTAAGAAGGTCAAATATTGTGAGTTCGTGACCGGATATTTATCAATCATAAAGTCCGGGAACATCAAATTCGCTGAATGAGTGTTTGAAGGACGATCCTCCCATGGAAACTGCACACCAGTTCCAAACTGCGCGAACGTTGGTGTCCAAGCAGATACCGGTTCGATCTGAACACCACTGACATTAAACTCATAAGCAAACATTCCAGATATAAGAACCATTTCCGACGAGTCCGCATTATCACCCATAGTACTGTTCGCATTGGGATTCATCACTTGCTGCAGCAGATCTCTTTGCATAGAGTAATCGGCGAGCGGCTTCGAAGTAAGGGTCTGCATCTCGGTGAGAAATGAAGATAAGTCACCGCCAGTTTTTGTGACATATACAGCACCGAAACCGCGAGGCTCGAGATTAATTTTGATAACTGTGCCGTTTGTTGAACTACCTGTCTCCTTTTGCAATTCCACACCGTGGTAAACATCGTAAACACGTACATCATCCCCAGACTGACTAGAAGGTAAGGGGATTTCGTAGCTAGTACTTGACTCCATTGTGCTGATGATCGTGTAAAGCGATTCATCAGTCGGTAGAGTGAACGCACTTGTATACACTTCTTCGCCTTTCCAGTTGTAGTACGGTATCCAATTTCCAGTAGACACAATCGTTCCAAATTTATGGAGAATCGTGAATATTATCTTGGTCGTAATATCTTCACGTTCAGTCATAGCGTTCCAAATGCCCCACACATTCTCCCAGACAACGTAACCAGCTCCATTGAAGAACGCCATCTGAAGTTCTGATGTTCGGTCCAGTGACCAGCGAGCACATAACTGCACCATATGTCTGACCTCTAAATACTTGGCCCGTGCCACGGGCGGAAAGTTTGAGAACCCGTAATAGTAACCCCAGCTGAGAGGATTATTATTCAGGTACGCAGAAGGTACGCCACCTTCTGGAGATGCCACCAACGGGTTACTGCAATTATAAAATGACTTGGGAACGCCGTACATCGTGTCACCATTGATACCATCGGCACCCAGCTCTTGAACAAGCGAGTATATAGTCTCAATGTCGGCTGTGTACATGCGTACCATACCCTCTTTTCCTTTCTCACTTTTAGTGCCTGTGTCCCAAGGGTTGAACGGAAGAATAATTTTAATATCATTGTCATGGAAATCTTTAATAACCCCCTTTAGTCCCTCAATTCCACCAGGAAGGTTTCGCATAAGCTCCCATTGATTCCGATTATCAATGCCGCTATTCGGATACCCCGACCAGAGCACGACACTGTCAAACGGGCCAACCCGCTTCGTCATTTCTTTCACGTATTTGTCAACAGTGTACTGCTGAGTCTCGCGATCATAAATCAATCGATCACTCATCATAACAAACACCTGGAGAAAGTTTTGTTGCGTCCACTGCGTCTGCGGAAGGTTGTACACCGTGCACGAATCTTCTGGATCGTAACGATTCGTGATCAGTTCCATCTTTTTCCACATACCCCACTCTTGACGCCATGTTTCAAGATCTTCAAAAGACTTGGGACGATCGATCACTTCATATCCATCAGGTTGTTGATCCCAACCGAGCGCATGACCAAAGAGGCAGTGAGCTACTGATAAGGAAAACCCAGTAACGACACGCATAGAGAAGTCGGTGTGTGCGCGGCACTGGAAGTTTGGAAATGGTTTTGAAAACTTTGAGTAGGGATTGAGATTAAGATGAGAGTGTGCAGCAGGCTATCGTCGCACCTGATAGTTGAAGTATTAGGCGTCATCAGACCTTCGCAAGTGACAAATCCTATTCAATATCGTGTTGTGCTCAGCAACCAGATTTTATTCTTTGTGAGAGCGATCAGCAAAACATTAAAGCATCTGAGTAGTTTAATTGAAATTTTTTTAACACATGCTGTTTTTGGGTATGCAGGCTCCTTACTGTATGTAAGGTAGATTCCTCGTTTTTACACTGGTATTACGCTTCTGAGGAATGTATTTTCCATGATGTTGTCAAACTGCATTTTCAAAAACTCGCTAATGCATGAGGTGATATGCCTATCCAACACATCAGTCATGGAAATAAAGTTCTCGGCCACGTTGAACAGATAAGACTTGGCACCCATGCTAAGAATCAGTTTTTTCTTCAGCGGTGAGACAAGCTTGAACTAGCAGGCACGAAAAGTCGATCATGATTGCATATGGTAGAAATCTCGGTGCTTTCATTGGTCAGAGCAAAATAGTGGCTTTCAGCAATGGATAGTCAGGAGCAAAGCTAAATACGATGTAAGACATGCGAGACGCGTTTGGCGCTCAAATGCATATAGGCCAACTGAGCAGCAGATACTTCACAACGCATGCTTTACGCCTGCACACCCTAACTTAGTTTACCCCCTTCAAACCCCAGTATTTTATCAGCTGGCTGTGTGGGTTGGTTATACCCCTATATGCTTTACCAATCTGCTCAGCTTATCATCGGATCATTTTCCACGTGATGGAAAGTACAACTGGATGTTGAACCGGACATCGATTTGACCTATAAAAAAAACTATGTTTCGTGCAGACAGATCAATTTTTGTTCAGAGAGCATGTGTCCGATCCCAGCAGCCTAAAACTAGCGTTGGGAGACTAGGTTGAGGGATGTGCATTAACTTATTTAAATGGTGTATGGTATCAAAAATTGAATTTTTCATGAGGCTTTGGTGTACAGTAATCAACACATCTTTGTTCTATCCATCGTTGAATACATCCACAATATGTTACCCCGCGTATTGATTGACATGGATTATCAGATATAGCATAGTGAGCCTAACTACTGCCAACTAGCTGTTATTGAACAATCATTA